TTTTTGGACTCAAACTCTTAGTTCAGGGCCAGCCTGAACTACAAAGGGAGTCTCTGCCTCAAAATAAAGAAAGAAAAAAAAAAACACAAAAAACCCAAAATAAGACACACACACACACACCCCCCACCAAGAACAGAACATAACAACAAAAAAAAGAGCGACCAGCCCGCTGAAGGTGAGGACCTCAGCCGCGTGGAGCCTGTTCTGTCCCGGAGCCCCTCCCCCCAGCGACCAGCACCCCACCACCACCTCTGGCCTGCGCCACTACCTGGTTCCACACTACAGAGGCACAGGGGAGCATAAAGGCCATTGTCCTGAGCTCCAGAAGATAGAGCAGAAGTGAGCAACAGAAAGAGGGCCTCGCTCAGGCTCCTTGATGAAAACTGAAGCCCACTGGAAAAGTGAAGAGAATCTCTGCAGTAAAGGCACACCAGACCACCATGCTTGGTAAGTTGGAGGGATCATCGCCTCCCATCAGAACCTGGACTATCTTCAGGAGAAGGGAAACTGGAACCTGCAGGAGGACAGGGAGCTCAACTTGGGACTTGCAGCCAGAAATCTGCCTGAATCGCATGAGTCTGTGACTGACTTGCTGAGACTCATTGACTTATATCTGCACACTGCTGCCCGTGTTGTCTAGTGTGACAGCAGAGACATACCCTGAAGGAGGCCCTTCATTTTTTATTGTTGTTATTTAAAAAAAAAAAAGTTTTGCTCTTAATTTTTTTTTCTACTCTTTTCAAATTTTTCTTTTTCTCTCTTTTTTCCCTTCTTTTCTCTTTTCTTTCTCTCTCTCACTTGTTCTCTTGCTGTCCCACATTGTTATTCATCTCCCTTTTTGTTCCTGTTCTGACCCTTTCAGATTTCTTCTTTATTTTTCTTTTCTTCTCTTTTTCCTTCTCTCAATTGTCATTAATTTTAAAGGAAAGTAAAGACAGTTTCTAGCCTCCCTATTGCTGTTAGGTTGTTCAGCTCTCATCTTTGTTCTTTCATTCTGTCTTTTCCTCTTGTCTTCAACAGTTTCTTAGAATTTGTGTGATCTTCCTGTGTCCTCTGGCCTCGCCGCTAACCTTCCCCTATCCTTCTACCTATCTATCCCTCCCCTCCCCCCAACTCCTTCTAACTCCCTATCCTGAAGGGTAAAGTTGCTGTATTGTAGAGTTTATTCACTATAAACATATGTTGGGCTGGTACTTGATTTTGATTTAATTCACACCATTAAAGGTGATAGATTAATAACAACCACAAATTGTCATTTTCTAAGCTGAGCTTGATGCTATGGTGTTGCTGATTGTATCACTTGGGCTAAGGTGTTGTGATTGATTTAATCAGTTGTCTTTCCTGGTATAATGAAAATGAGAGAGCCTCAAAGTCATTAGAGACTCAAAACCTAAAGACCAGCTATATCTGGAAGACACCTCTGAGAAGCAATCATTCCATAAGGATTCTAAATACAAG